TGAATGTGAGATAACTGCAAAGGGCTGTCTTTCATCCCATTAGCACTTCTGTGTTTTCATAAGAAACAAGACCAACGGGAATCCTGGAGACATTGTTTCCACATGTGGCAAAATTACCACTAGGTGCAGGTGGATCTGAGTGGCCTGTAGTGGATCTGTCGTGCTGCTCTATTGAGATCACCTCTTCAGGAGCACTGTACTCATGCCACAGCTGCTGGACTGGCAACTGCTGACAGGTCACAGCCACGTGACTCACTGAGGATTGTCCTTGGCTACGGGAAACCACGTCACCTAAGGTTATGCTCTCTCCGAGGGACAGCGGCAGCCAACAATTGGTTGACACAAGGGTGCAAATGTGGGTACGATCGCCACAGTTAGGACAGGGCTTCCCATAGGAGTGGCTGAGGCCCCTGTTGCAGCTGCGTTGGGGATCAGCTTCCACCTTCGGCCACCTGCTTCTGCAGGTCCTTGTAGGCGTATGTCTCAAGACACCCCCAGTAAACCACGTGCGTGCAACTGTCTGTTCTGCTTCCAGGAACCCGGCCTACAAAGCTTCCATGCAGGGATGTTAAACTTCAATCAACACGCAGAAAAAGTGAGGCCAAAGGGAAGCCCACGCTCTTTATTGTTAGTCCCCTAGAGAGGAAAACTAAAAATTACAACTTCTGGGAAGATACGGGGAAAGTTGGAGTAAAGAAGATATTACAGAAAGCACTATTGGGCCTAAAGTCTTGTTTACAAATTAGTTGAGTAGTTTCCTAGAAGAACATGGTTTTATAGGACACGGAACAAATATGGTTTGGTGAAGTCAAAGAGAAAATGTTGGTGTCAGTGAGTCTGACTGACTTGCCGGTGGCCTCGGAGAGAGACTGAGCCTGTCCTTACAGCATTAAGTGGCCGGGAGCACACGTCTACTTCCTTCATAGATGGGGCAGTAAACAACCCCGACCAATTGGTACCCCAGCCACTGAGCTGTAATCTCATCACGCCTTCATGAGCCCCCTAAAGGAATTTCTCTAAACAATGGTCTTCACGGGAGAAAAGCTGGTTATGCACCTCTACTGGCCCTTTACAAAAGCGAGCCCCTCTCCCATTCTCTTTGGCTAGAAGACAGTGCAAGCTGGGGCCTAAGAGAAAAGGTTCTCACTTTCTTTTCAGCTGCTGTCCGCAGGGTCCTTCAGTTTGGTCTCGCAGCCTCAGCTGCTCCGCAGGTGCCAGTTTCAGCCCCACCGTCCCTGTGCTTGGCCCAAGGGCCTCTGAGCTCCGATTCCCTTGGTGAGTAAAATCACCCCGAGCACAGTGCACAGGACCCCATTCCAGCGTGCAGACTTTGCTACAAATCTACTTGCCATGTCTAGGCCCACTTGCTTTAAAGAAAAGACGGGACAGCAGTGGGGACCTCCTCTCTGCTTCCCGGCCTTTGGGGCCTGCACCAGGCCGGGTGAGTTAGGACGGAAGTTAGTTATCCCGGGCCAGGCACGCGGGGACAGAAGCAGGGCCTGCTGCTGACTGTGAGGAGGGGCCGTGGAAAGAAACTCGGCTGATGCAGGCAGAGTGCTGGCTCCCCTGGCGGAGGAAGACCCCGGGTCTCCCCAGCGCAGGCGGGACTGGAGCGCAGGATGGTGGGGACTGAGCGGCGGCATTGTCCCAGCTGACAGAGCGCCTGGAATTGTGAGCTTGACTGGAAAGGCCTGGGCTCCAGAGGGTCTTGCTTGGGGTGAAGAACAGTGTTACTTAGGAGTGGGCGGGGCGCAGAGAGCCGTTACTTTAGACAGGCCGGGAAGCGA